CAACTGGCTGGTAGATGGGCTTCCTGGGGCGCAGATTAACATGGAGGCCGTGACGCAGACCAAGTTTTACAGCCCCGGGTTCGCTCTGGGATCGATCAACGACGAGGGACAGCCGGTCTTGAACAACCACTTCGAAATCCTCATCGAGTATCACCGTGTCGGCTATGGAAATCAGGACAAGTACCGTGTTGTTGGCGTGCTCGTGCAGCCGGAGTCCCGGCGCAACTCCATGGTCTCGGAGGATGGTACCGCCCAGTGCGATGGCGACGGTGTCGGCATCACCTTGAACGAGGAGGGCGAGACTGCGGTTACATGGACTTACAGTGTGTACTGGCGTGAGTCGCCCACCGCATGGGCCACTCGTTGGGACAAATACCTTCATGTCTACGACCCGAAGATTCATTGGTTCTCCTTGATCAACTCGGCTGTGTTCGTGGTCTTCCTGGTCGCGATGGTGAGCATGATCTTGGTTAGGGCTCTGAAGAAGGACATTGCCCGGTACAACCGTCTAGACATGATCAATCTAGACGACTTCGACAGCACGTCCGCGGCGGTGGAAGACGGTATCCAGGAGGATTCCGGATGGAAGTTGGTGCACGGAGACGTGTTCCGGTGCCCCAAGTCCCCCCTGCTTCTGAGTGTGCTTGTCGGTAACGGAGCTCAGCTTTTCATGATGACGGGCGTGACTGTTGGTAGGTACATCCTTTGCAAATCAGACAGTCCTCTTGCTAATGGCTATAGTTTTCGCACTCTTTGGTCTGCTCTCCCCCGCGAACCGTGGCTTCCTGGCCACTGCAATCCTTCTGATCTATACGCTTTTCGGCTTCATTGGCGGCTACGTATCGGCCCGAGTCTACAAATCGCTGGGCGGCGATGCCTGGAAACGCAACATTATCATGACCCCAGTGCTGGTTCCCGCGCTCATCTTTGGCGTGTTCTTCCTTCTGAACCTGTTCGTTTGGGCCAAGGGATCGAGTGGTGCCGTGCCCTTTGGCACTATGCTTGCCCTGGTCCTGATCTGGTTCGTGATCAGCGTGCCGCTAAGTGTTGCGGGAAGCTGGCTGGGATTCAAGCAACGTGTAAGTCGCCTACTCCGACTCTCCATGACGGTTGCTAATTGCTTCTAGGCTATTGAAGGTCCCACCAAGACCAACCAGATCCCCCGTCAGGTCCCTCCGATGACGGGTACGCTGCGTACTGTTCCCTCTCTGCTGTTGACCGGTATCCTCCCCTTCGGAGCGATCTTCGTGGAGCTCTACTTCATTATGACCTCGCTGTGGACGAACAAGATCTACTACATGTTTGGCTTCCTGTTCCTCTGCTACGGGTTGATGGTTATCACATCTGCTGCCACGACCGTGCTTCTGGTGTACTTCTTGCTGTGCGCCGAAAACTACCGGTGGCACTGGCGGGCGTTTGCCGGCGCGGGAATGACCGGCGGGTACGTCTTCTTGAACGCAATTCTGTTCTGGATCACCCGGGTCAGCTTCGGTGGTTTCACCGGCGCGGTGTTGTATGTCGGCTACTCCGCTCTCCTCGGATTTATTGTCTTCATCTTGACTGGTAAGGACCTTTGCGAGCTTCCCGAAAAGACTCACTCCATTGACCCTGTGACTAGGATCCATCGGATTTTTCGCCAGCTGGGCGTTCGTGCAGCGTATCTACGGCTCCATTAAGGTCGACTAAGCCGTTCAAAATTCCGACCTGAGCGATCGCTCGTCGCGGCGCGGCCCGCCCCCGGAGTCGCAGAAATACCGAATTCTCCTCCGGTGTGATCGCAGGAGGGAAATCCGCACCGACACAGCACGCGCGGTGACCGCGAGGACGCTTTACGCAACTGTGCTTTTCTTCGATATATACATCGTAAAATTCGCTTCGACTCGTTCTGGATGGTGCTGGGCTAGGATATCCCCTGTATAGCTGTGTCTGAAATTCGCATCTGTTGGTTTTTGGTTCTTTGCTTCCCTTGCGCTTGTAATGGTCATGATGTGTACATAGAGAAGTCGGAAAGACTGGACGCGGGTGTTCGGCAGGCGACGCCCGTTGGCAGGATTAGAAATGATGGACGCGCACGATTGAATGTACGATACGGGCCGCGCATAAGTACGGATGCAGGAATAAGAGTGAAAGTAGATCGGAGCAGATAGCCTCGACCGCTCTAGGCCGACGTAGAAGAAGGTAGAAGAAGCAGGGGGACGGGAAGGCGGAGGGGAACAATTGGTGGATGAGCGAGTGGGAGCCGTGGATCTCAAACCGCTTACGCTTCAAACCTCGTCACAAAGTGAAGCCGCCAAGCCGCCGTGTTCTGGACCCGCGGCTCTTCCAGTTCCAGCATCCCCGACTCTTTCTCCTGCCATCGCCACGACGCCTTTCTTTCCTCTCCGATTTTCCCGCTGTCTCAGCTTTTGATCTGCACTTTTCCCCCTCCGACCTAGCATTCCCATTTCCAATACTACCTACCCTACCTTGTCAGCCGTGCTGGTTCAATCCGATCGACCGCCCTTTCTTCTGCCCCTCGGCCAAGCAGCGCACGCTCTTATCAATCCAACCCAAACTTTCCTCTACCCCGCGCCTTCCGAGAGACCCTGTTTCATCGCGCGTCCTCATCGTGATACATCGATCCCATCGATTTTCGTTCTTCTTACAAATTCATCCTACATTCGACCCGAGCGCTTGGAGTGTGTGTGTGATCTGAAGATGGGCAAGTCGTAAGTGTTGCGCTTTTCCGATCGCTCCGCATGGGTCTGGCCAGGAACAACAAGGGAACCCCCTCGGGCAGGACAACGGACACCCATGGATGGTCGCACTCTAGCAACAATGACTGCGCTGCGAGTATCACAGATCCTGATGGGAGTTGTCTAATGCTTGTCCATCTTTCCTCGCTGGCGCCCTACTATATCCCTTAGAATTACCCCTGCTACCCCGGACCTCGTGTGCCCCGCTTGTCCGCATCAAACTAATTTATTCACCGGTCTTTCAGACAGTCGAAGTTGTCCCCCTCCCAGCTGGAAGAACTCCAAAAGGCCACGCATTTCGACAAGAAGGAACTTCAACAATGGTATAAAGGTGTGTGACAGATATATCATGGGTTTGCGACCGGTTTCCCCGGGCGATTTTCCTTTCCTCGTTGTAGAAGCAGCCGCTGACGAATCGCTGCGGGGCAGGATTCTTGAAGGACTGTCCGTCGGGGACACTCACCAAGGAGGAATTCCAGAAAATTTACCGGCAGTTTTTCCCTTTTGGCGACCCGTCGTCATTCGCAAATTATGTATTCCGCGTGTTCGACTCGGATAACAGCGGCATGATCGATTTTAAAGAGTTCATCTGCGCCTTGTCGGTCACGTCGCGCGGCAAGATGGAGGACAAGCTGGACTGGGCCTTCCAATTGTATGACATCGATGGTGATGGCAAGATCACGTATGACGAAATGTTGGCGATCGTTGAGGCGATCTACAAGATGGTAAGTGCTGCGCGCCTAGTCGCCGTTCCATATTTTGGCCCCCACGCCGGCTGACCCCCCTTCTCTGCACCACAGGTGGGCTCGATGGTTAAATTGCCCGAAGACGAGGACACGCCGGAGAAGCGGGTGCGCAAGATCTTCCGCATGATGGACAAGGATGAGAACGGCAGTCTCGACATGGAGGAGTTCAAGGAGGGCAGCAAGCGAGACGAGACCATTGTCAGCGCGCTGTCGTTGTACGATGGGCTGGTGTAGGGATAGATCGGCCAACGACTACAACGACACTATCACTTGCTGCTGTCTAGTTGGGCGGGCCGGTCGCATTATGCCCATGGTTGCTTCTGCGCTTCCTTGATATGTCTTGGATGGTGAAACTCTCCTCCTGGTGAATTGGCGCTAACTGTTGACATGCTTTATCTGTTTCGCTTCTTTTTCATCCATATTTGTGACTTGGCTGCTTCTTGTTTTCTTTTCTTTTTTCGTTGTTTGCTCATTCTTCAGGATTCCCATTACTGCTCGTATTGACTTGATAAATGCGCCCAAGCTTGGAATCCACCGCCACGCCTTGGCATTAACGGAATGCCGGTAGTTGGACGGCTGCTCATGGCGGCATCCGGTTGATCGTCCGTCTACATTTCTACTTCTTGCTGGAGCCGGAACTATGGCCGTTGGAGACCACCCGGGTATGTACAGACAGGTGAGAGGGAGGTCAAATCCCGGCCGATGAAAATATTCATGAATGCTTGTATGTACATAGTCGTTTAGCTGTTCATTTTGATTATTTTCTGGCAGGTTGTTTTTGTAGCGGCGTTACTACCTCGCATGTGTCAACATATTACTATTGCGGTGACTATAGACAGATACAGACAGCTCATCCATCGAATAGCGGTTTGCGTTGATCGGGATTTGTATCTGATTTATTATACTCATTCAAGGATTACAAATCGCGTCTTCTTACCAGTAGCTCCCAGCAACTACTTAGTACTAGTGAGTAACAACTAAACTACTAACTAACTAAAAGCATCCACATCACCCGGGATTTGATTCGGTGATACATAGTACTAGTAGGCAGCCAGCAAGCAACCAAAATAAACAAGCAATAAGTATAAAAATCAATCATATAACCTTCAAAATAAGTAATTATACTAGTTTGTTCATTTTAATTTTAAAGAAGCCGGACTCCTCCCGAGAACCGGGATTTGTCCCCCATTAGTGAGGATTAGTTTGCTTTTTTTACCTTTCCCCTTTCCCTTATCATCCAGTGACGAACGATGGATTAATTCTTTCATCTGCACGATCATCACGCATCACGGACCGGATGGACTACATTGGGCACCGTGCATGATGCTCTTTCTTTTTTTGTTCCGTTCTTCTTTTTTAGTTCTCTCACCTATCGACGTCTGTGTCATGATGATCATCCCACATAAATGATTATAGTAACATTGTTCTATTGTTCCTGCGAGTTATTAGTACTTAAACTTCCTGGTTCTACTATCCGCCAATCATAAAGACGGTCAGGAACGGGTGTGCTTTTCCGATTTTAACCGCGGGACTTTTTGGGGCTGGGATCTAGACGTGGATAGAATTTTAACTGAGTTTGTTGAATTATTCCTTGTGTGCGGTCGGGAGGGGGAAGTTTATCGCTAGGATGCGGGTTATGCTTTGCTTGCTTTGTATAAGGTTTGGATATTGTGTGGATTGGATGGATGGCACATGGGAGGGTTCGTGTGGGGGAGAGTTGGAGAATCTTCTTCTTCTTCTTCTTCTTCTTCTTTGTGATGGATGGATGGATGGATGGATGGAAACTTTGCAGGTTGTGGGTAGTGGTAGTATAATAGCTGTTGAGTAACACCAGTATAATGATCCTCCTTGGGACAGTAGCAGTCAAGTGAGAAAGAAAGAGAGACAGGATGAGATGGATCGCCTTCCGGTGTCGATCCGGACAGACAGCGGGCCAATCAGTTGGAATCACCCGGACAAACTCGAGGCCATCCGTCAATCCTGGAGTTTCTTGGGAATAATCCTGGAGAGAGTTGAAGGCCGTCCCTCTGGTCCATGTTTTTCTCACAACCAATTGTGAGTCCAGACTCTTTCGCCCAGCCCTGCCGATGCGTGCTCCACCTCCAAATCCACCATCCATCAATCCATCCATTCATTCAACGCCATCCTTCCCTTCTCCTCCTCCTCCTCCCAATTATTGCCTTCTCCCCGTTCCTTTCTCCCTACTCTTTCTCTCTTTCTCTCCCACACAACCCCTCGCTTTCTCTCGCTCATCCACTCCCCTCTCTTCTTATTCTCACATTACTATCACTCGTATTCATCTCATCTTCTCTCTTTTCTCCCTCCACTTACCTCCTTTCATCCCCCCCTTTTCTCACGTTGCTCGATCTCCCTCACTCCCTCCCCCGCGCCTCTTCCCCCCCTGCGTCCCTGCCTCACATTTTCTCCATGCCTTGGCTGCCAGATCGCACCGGTCTGGCTGGGGCTGTTGATCTATCTTCAGCATGGTCCGAGTGCCACGCGGTTGTCGGGCCTGCGCTGACGCCCATCTTCAGGTGCGTGTGTGAGTGATACGAATCATAATCGAATCACTGATGGTTCCGTGTTGGTCGTTGGCTTCATTCATTGTTTGCTGTCCTCCCCCAAGCATCGGGCCGCCCGTCCTGGCGTCTACTAGTCGCCATTCCTCTCCTTGTGCTCGACCCCTGAACCCTGTGTTGCACAGATGTTGGCTGCTGCTTCTTTGTCTGTTGCTGCATGCTTTGCCCCCTAATCCTGCTCGAATGTCAACTGCCGACACTCCTTTCTGGACCACTCGGTATCCACCAGGCTTCTGCTGTTGCTGCATTTAATTCTCCGGGTGTCCGCCCCTGTGTGTGTGTGTGTGTGAGGTCAGATTCTAACCGTCAACATTGGCTCTCTTTTAGTGTGACAACAAATCTCCCTGTAACCACTGCAAAACTCGCAATGTCCCTTGTCTAAGTCAGACCCGAACCTTCAAATTTCGCAACGAAGTACCTGCTCTCCAACAACGTTATCGCACTTCAATCTCACCGACTACTTCCACTACTTCTTCTACTTCAACCTCCTCCGCGTCGTCGCAACTTGTCCCCCGCCCGCCCCGCGAGAGGGACCCGCCTTCTCCAGGTTCGGCCCGCGGGCGCGACGTGCGATTCGCCCCGCTGCCGCTGTCAATGGACGAATCCGTCTCGCCGTCTCTGACCGTCACTGCGGTCTCCGCTCAACAAACCCAGATCTTCACCAATTACGTCCTCACTGCCTTCCCTTGCTTCTTCAAATGCACCGAAACTCGCGTGCCCGTCAATTGGGTCGAATATGTCGACCGTCGACGTGGCGCCATGAACTCGTGCTTCGACTGGGCCATCCGTGCCTGCACCCTGTCTTATACCGCCTCCCTCTACGATATCCCTGAACTCAATGAAGTCGCGCGCTCCTTTTACACCCGCTCTCTCGGCGGTCTCGCCGGCCTTCTTGCCGACGAGTCGACTGCCAAATCCGACGAAGCCCTCTCCACCGCAATCGTGCTCGCCGTGTTCGAAAAGCACCACTGCACCGGCCCAGAGGCGTGGATCCACCACGCCCACGGTATCCGCGCACTTCTCAAACTCCGCGGCCCCAAGGCCCATCTCTATGGCTTCGGTCGTGCCATGTACATCGTCTACCGACCGATCCTTGTCTCCGCTGCCCTCATTGAGGGCGAAGCCTGCTTTCTCGAGGAGCCTGAATGGCAATCCCTCAACGAGCAGATCTCCGACGACAACGCCAAGCTTCCCGATTCGTCATTGTATACGGACGTCGTCGACCGGGGCCTGCGCGAAATAATAAAGATCCCCGGTTACGTCAAACGCGTCCGCGACCTACTCTCCCTGCCCTTGACCAAACGGGCCAAGCTCGAACCCCCCTTGCTGCAAAGCGTACAAGCTACCCGCGCTACCCTGCGCGGTATCCACACCGAGTTCGGCGTGTCCATCTCCATGCTCCGTGCCGGCCACAGTCAGCCGCGCGGCTTCATCGGACCACTACCACAATTCTTCTTTGAGGGGTATTCGGCGCATGTCACGCGGGGCGTGCACGCCGGACTCACCATCCTGAATTACCTCGTCATCATGCTGGACCCGAGCCAGCGTGAAACCCCACAGAAAGAAGCTCGTCTACTATCCAATCCGCCATCCCCGGAGAGTGCGGTCAGTCCGGCGTCGGAGTATAGCTCCCCGCAGACCCCGTCTAGCTCGCCGGGATCTCCCCAGCTCGTTGTGGAGTCACTGATCACCCCGGACTATAAGCAGGGTCCGACGACGGACTGGATGGATCAATTGACATCGTCGATGGGAATGGACGGCGTGCGGGTGCGTATTGTTGATTAATCATGATAGTTACTTATGTATGTATAGCGCGTTTGGAGTTGTGAATTGGACTGTCTTGGCTGGCTTGTATTGAGTTTTGGGATGGCTGCTTGGTTGACGGATAGATACCCATTGATTTGTTTGGCGAAGATGATATTTGATTCTGCTGGTATTGGATTGATGTGTACATGCGAAAAGTAACGGGTTGGTCTACTGTAATAAACGAATGATTGATTGCATTGGCCAGATTTTCAGGAGTTGGTTGTATATAGAACAAACACTAGGGATATTACCATCTGTATTTACTTGTTGATCTATATCAGCGGAGAACATATCCGCCTATCCATGGCAATTATCTTTCAGGTCTACCTTTTCTCAAACAACCACCCCCTACCAAGCTACTGGTAAAACAATCCTACGCACAAACCGCCCCAATCTCCCCCTCATACAACTCCAACGTCCTCCACCGCGCCACACTCCCCTTCCCCGTCAACTCAAACGGCTTCTCCCTGCTCGCCACAACCACCCTCTCCAACCCCAACCTTACACACTCATGACATCGTCCATTAACCTTTTCAATATACGGCCTCAACGACTCCACAAACTCCCTCCTCTTCCCCTCATCCTCTACATCCACTCCCTCCACAGCCTCAACCACCAACACCGGCCTATCCCTTCCATGTCCCCCAATCAACACATTCTTGACCTGCGGATGCGCCACAATCTCCTGCTCCAACAGCGCAGCATTAACCCCGTCTCCGTGCGACAAGTACACGTAGTCATCGACCCGTCCGATAATCTTCCATAGGCCCTTGTGGATCGGGTGTTCTTGCCATAGATCCTTCGTTTCAAAACGTGTGAGGTCCGGGTATAGTTTGAAGATGGGTTGGAGGGCGCAGGTCGGAGAGCGGATGAAGACGAGTTCGTGCAGTTGGGATTCGGTGGTTGAGTCGTGGCCGCGTGGTTCGAATACTATGCCTGTGTGCTGCTTGTTGAAGGTTAGGTAGTCCCATGCGTCGTTCTGGTATGGGTGCAGTTCCGTGAAGTAGCCGCCGGATTCGGTGCTGCCGACTCCGGGGATTACGGGGACGTGGGGGAGCAGCAGGGAGGCGCTTTTGCGGGATAAGGGGGCGCCGGCGTAGTGGATGTAGTGGAGGGAGCGGAGGGCGGAGAGACCTTCTGGGGTGAGGGTGAGGGCGTCGATTAGGGACGGGGGGAACATGGCTGTGGTGATGTTGCCGTGCCGGAGGAGGGAGATTATGGTGGAGGGCGTCGGTGGGGTTGGGGGGCCGATCACGGCGGTCATGTGGATGAAGGTTGTCATCGAGAGGGAGAGGGCCATGCCTACGAACTGTGGTTTGGGGTTGAATTAGGGGTTGAGGGTGAATGGGGGATGGGGTATGGGGGCGTACGTGGAGGGATGGGAGTGGGGTGTAGCAGCGGCGCTGGGCGTAGTGGTGGATTTGGGTCTCGCCGATGTCTGGGAGTGAGGCGACGATGTCGGCTCCGGCCATCATTTCGTGCGTGTAGGTTACTGGTTTGGGGTTTCCTGGGATGGTTGGTCTATTGTCTTGATTGTGAGTGGGAGGAGGGGGGAGAGTTACCTGTTGTGCCTGATGTGTGGAATACTAGCCATGGATCTGCTCTGCCTTCCTCGAATGTCTTGCTGTAATTGACTGGCTCTGCTTCTGCCTCTTGCATGAAGGCTTCAATGTCTGGCACGGTAATTGTCTGGACATGCGGAGTTGCTTTTAGGATCTCTGCAACAGGCGCTTCCATGGACGATGGTCTCAAGTAGACTGTGCATCCTTTCTTCTCCAGGATGTGCAGCTGCGCTTCGGCTGTGACTAGTGGGGAGGGAAGGACCATCTATGATATGCTCAGAATGAATTCCTCTGAACATCTGAGGTGAGTGTCATACGTACCACCTTCTGCACCTTCGCCGCTGCCACTGCCAGAATCTGGTATCGAAGATCCTTAGGTCCAGCATAGGCAAAACATTGGAATGGCTCAGACGTCGGAGGCAGGTTCTGCTTCAACCAGTGGGCTGCATGGTTGGCCGCGTTGTTCAGCTCCTTGAAGCTGATGTCGCGAAAGCCCTGTGACAGATCCTGATCATTGATCGGTACGGAGACCCATGCTGGGGTGTTGTCTGCTTTGGCTCTGGCTTCGATTACGGATGTGAGGATGCGCTGGCCGTGCTCGACTCCAGGGAGAGGGAACGGGGACTGGAAAGAAGATGCCATTGCGTGTGTGCTGTTATTAGCTTTTGGTGATACTTATCTACAATTGGTGAGATACTGTTGAAAGAAAAGAATTGGCAGCCTAGAGACATGACTGCGCTTTATATTCCTGAGCACCCCGCAGCTTCATGGATGAATGAAGCTCCGCTAGCAGGGGTTAGTGCTCGCATTTGGACATCTAGTAAGCACTAAGGCACGATCCATCTCTTTTAGCATGTCAGCCCAGACAAAAAAAGCTGAGACTCCGGCAGGTCTGTTCAACAATCATCCGTGTCATCGTCATCAACTTGAATGAAGAGAGCGTGAGAAAAAGGGAGTCAGACCGAATCCATTGTATGACAGGCTTATCTAAGCCATGCAGGGATGCGCGTTGACAGCTCCTCCTTTCACCTTCCAACGCGACCTTCATGCAACTCCCCTCGCGATCTACCTCCACTACGGTGAGGTAAGTAGAACATGGCTAAGCGACTCGCCCAATCACTTCGTGCCTGGTCAGCATTGGGGCGCAAGTCCCGCACTTCGTTCCATGGCACCGGCCTGGAGCTTCCTCCCGAACCCAAGATCGAAGAGGAGAAGGTTCCCGGCTTCAAGCCCAGTGCCTATTTCCCCGTTAAACCAGGATACATTTTCAATGATCGCTATGAAGCTCTGACCAAGCTTGGCTGGGGAACGAGCTCCACCGTCTGGCTTGTCCGCGATCTCCAACAGTATGCCGCCAGCCCCTTCTCATCTCCACAGCGCTAATGTCCGGTCTGTACTAGATGGAAATGGCTACCAGAACGCTACCTGACATTGAAAATCGGGACTTGCAACTACGCGGAAGGCCACGAAAGCCACGAACTCAATATGGAAAAGTGCATCCGCGACGCCAATCCCAAACACCTAGGCCACTCTTTTCAAAGAACCTTCATTGATTCTTTCGAAGAGAAAAGCCCCAATGGGACACACATTTGTCTGGCCTACGAGCCACTGCGAGAGCCCTTGACACTTCTACAAGGCCGGTTCATCAACGACACATTTCCTCTTGACATCTTTAAAGCCTACATGAAATTCCTCCTGATAGGACTCGACTACTTGCACTCCGAATGCAAGATCATCCATACCGGCTAGTACCATTCATAAACCCCACTGTATATCCAGCAGCATCCTCATGATTTACAAGCACATAGATATAAAAGCGGCCAACATCCTCATAACTATCGAAGACCCTTCAGTTCTACACAGCTTTGCCCAGTCCCAACCATCAAAACCTATGTCCCAAAAGACAATCGGCGACTATACCATTTATCTCTGCCACAACAACTTCGGCCGCCCCAAATCCCTTGAATTCCTCCCGATTCTGTCTGACTTTGGATCCTCTCAATTCCAACTCGACAACGTCACAAACACCTGGCCAATCCAACCGGATTGCTACCGCGCACCCGAGGTACTCCTCGGCGCGGGCTGGTCATACAGCGCCGACATATGGAACCTAGGAGTAATGGTATCCCACCCACCCGAACAACCGAACTACTACATACTAATAATGTATTGAATATAGATGTGGGAACTGATCGAAGACAAGATTCTCTTCTCTAACGCCCGCGACTCAAGCCTAAGAAGCACCCCAGCCGCTCATCTCGCGCAGATGATAGCCCTTCTCGGCCCGCCACCTCAGGAAATGGTAGCCCGGGAGAAAGAAGGACTCAACCGAACGTTCGGTATTGGCTTACGAAAACCAGACGGAAAGCTCTGCAACTCGCCTGCAGAGTGGTTCGGTGGGCCTTTCTTTGATGATAATGGTGAGCTGATACCAACCCGACCTACTTTTTATTGTCCGGTATATATACTATACTCACAAAAACCACCACTACGGCATATAGGTGAATTCCTACACAAGCACCTCATCCCAGAGAACCAGACCCTCGAAGACACAGTAACATGTCTCAAGGGCACAGAGAAAGACGAATTTCTGGCCTTCGCAAGGACTATCTTGCAATGGCTACCTGAGGACCGGAAGACAGCCAAGGAGTTGGCTGAGGATCCATGGTTGAGCGAAATCGTGATTTGAGTCAAAGAGTGTAAGACGTAAGTGAAGGTATAGGCTGTTTTTGTACGATACGTAGTAGATGATACCCCTCTCCGCTCTGCCTGTTCATGTGTAAAATATGGTGTATATAGGATAGAAATCTCAGCTCTATTTTCCATAGTATAGAATCCAAACTACACTCATAGAATTCAAATAAGGCACACAATACTTCTAATATTGGCGATTGATAGTCCTATCCTTATTGCTTACTACCTCAAGAAGCAAACAACCAGTACCCATAAAACGACTATATAGTGATAGACATTATAGAATCGTACACCAACCAAACCACAAGTACATACCTGCCTCACCGGATGACACTAAGTAACTTACTCACCGCATACAATAGAAAACCAAAGCGAGTCTGTAATTCCATTCATCAACATAGTACCAACATCAGAACCTCAAACCAAATGAACAAACACTAGATGCAACAGCAGGTGATTAAAACCCAACAAAAATCAAAAAGAAAAAAATTAGAGGAGGAAGTGGATGAAAATGACAAGAGTGGGATTCGAACCCACGCCATCGAAAGATGATCAGGAAGCTTTATTGTTTTATCTCAAACAAGCTGATTTATTTAGGTGGACCTAAACCTGACGCCTTGGACCAACTCGGCCATCTTGCCCTTTGTTTTCGGTGGTCGGTTGCGATTGGTGCTCACTTATTTGGGGGGGATTATTTCTTGGCATCTGCCTAAGTACAACTTTGGATTGATTTTTTTGTGGTAAGCGTACAATATCTTGGACTTTGAATGTGGTTACTCGTCTTCG